GCAGCATACACTGAGAGCTACACGGTAAAATGGCCCATATGCCATGCAGACGGGTCTCATCAGGCTCCTTGAACAGGCGTTTGGCACCACAGTGACAGTGAGGGGATGGACAGGACAGTGAGGGAGAGTGGTAACAGCTTAGAGAAGCAGGGGAAAGCAAGCGCACAGCAGGATGGACGACATCTGTTACACCATGTTTTAGGTTCCCATGGAGACAAGACTGACCCCACCCTCCCCACCCCCCACCCCCTTTTCCTCCCGCTCGCTCACTCACCACGCGCTCACAGCATGGTAGCAGACAGACGAGGGTGGGGGGGACAGGGTTTAGCAGCTTTGCTGCGGCTCCCCGCTCCTGCTTTTAGACTTTCTGCCCTCCACATCTGTAGGACAAAGGCAACGCTTATGTTACATCTGCAGAGTGATGACACACTATTTTCATTTACTTCATACCTGCGGATACTTTGAATCAAGATAAATACAATATAGCAACTTCAAAACAGCAACTAAAGAGTACAAAAGCAGAAATAAATAAGGACGTAGATACAGGCAGTTCAACTAGTATTGGCACAACATGTAGTGCTCGTCTTTGATTATAACTTAATGATAGCAGTCTATACAAGATAGGTCAGTCTCAAATATCACCTCAAGTTATCCAACTTGTGGCGTGTCAGGAGAAAATACCAAAAGGAATGATGTTCGCTTCATTCACAAAACAACCTCAAATGAATCAACTTACAGTATCAACTCCACGTTCTAAAAATAATAATTAAAATACCCCCAAACAATCATAAACTGCGTGAAACCAAATCACTATTGCCATGCTGTATTCTGTGTCCTCTCCGTCAACTTTCACGTTTCAAACTAAAAATGCCGCCCTGATTGTTTTGGGAATGAAGCTTCATCATTTTGTCACCAGCCCAGGAGGTCAGCTTAGATCCACCAGATCATATTAATCCATTTGCAGAGGGGAGCAAACACTCCAGTGAACGTGTACACAGCAAAGAAAAACAGAAAAGATATCAAATGTAAAACACAAACAGCACACACCATCATAAGAAACAAACTGATGAAAACCATTTTGATCACAGCAATCCAAATGAAAGTTTCAGGTCAAACATACAAAACAAAGCCATGCAATTTAGGAGGTGAAAAGTGGGACTTGCCAAGAATCACCATAATAAACAGAAAATGCAAAGTGAACCTATTATCTGACTTTACTATGTAGAAATTGCCCCAGAATGCTTTGCTCATTATGCTCATTATTAAAAAAAAGCTTTTCCTGCTGTTTTTATGATTCCTGGTGTGACTTGAACCGACTTGCTCGGTGTGTTCTGGCCTCACATGAAAGCTTTAGATAATTCTCTATTTCTTCTCATCCCCAAGATAAAATGTATCACCTCACCGCAGCAGATAATAGTATGATGTTAGCCAGGTAAAACTTATCTGATGAGGTAAAAATAATGTGTGAAAGGGTATTGGACGGAAGAACAGTCAAAGTCCCGCATCGTAGAAAAGAAAATGGGGGTTAAAAAAATATTAAAAATGAAAGTAAAGTCACCAATCAGCACCATAGCAAACAGGGAAAAATGACCCACATACACCACACAGAGACAGACAGTACTCTGACAAATACATGCAGAGGAAATGGCTTTGCTCTTTATCCATCCTTTTGTTCCTCCCTCTTCATGTCAAGTATTAAAATCAGCAAACCAGAAACCTCCCCGTCATTTAGATACAGCCGTACTCATACCACAGAGACTCCCTCTCCTCTGGGCTCAGTGACTGATCCGGATTATTTACACAACTCTGATCAACACCCTCGCTGGATCTCACCTGGCCGTTTGATTGGCTGTGGGGGGTCTGGTTTTGGGTGCGAATGTGATGCGGCACAGGAGGAGGGTGGGTCTTATTTGTAACAGGAGGCCCGCTGATGTTGCTGACTAAGGTGGGGTTAAGAGAAAGGAAGGGGAGGTTTTTGTCTGCTGACTCACTAAAGATGGAGTCCATGAATACAGATTCTACAGTGAAGGAAGGGCCGAGGAAAGACTCAAGGGTGGAGAGGTCGGGGTCCTCCGAGCTATTGCAAGGTAAGCTGACTGACTTGGGCATGGGGGTGATGGTGGTGAGGGGTCCCTTAAGGTTGGTGCTGTTGGGGTGGTACTCACTGGGTGTGGGCTGCGAACGTAGCCCAGCCCTGGTGGAAGCAGCAGCAGCAGGAGCGTCAACCGAAACGGGCTGCCGGTTGTCCTTGGACAGCAGGTCGTGGATGCTGGTACGCCGTGTGGTACCTTCAGCAGTGGAGATGACACTGCTGGCCCGGGGCAGGGTGGAGGAGGCTGAATCGAGCCGTTCGGAGACAGAGGTCGCTTTGCCCTGTGAAGACAGGCTGGCGCGGATCGGGGCGGAGCCTTTCACCCGTGTGCTCTCGGCCTTCCGCAGGGAAGGGCGTCCTGGTTGTCCGGAAGACCTCGGAGGCCGGTCAGCGCTGACTGCTGCTGCCTTCCCACTGGACGAGCGCAGTATGCCCCGGCCCTTTGTGACAGTGCGTTCTTTCTGGCCGTGCTCAGAGGAGGTGGAGAGGCGAGGAGAGTCTACAGTGAGGTTCTCCTGACTGCCAGACTACAAAAGACAGCAAACAGCATTAAGGACAGAACAAATAACAATGGAGACAATTCACGTCCAACTCCAAACGTTATCTGAACTGACTAATAAAGAAGAACATGTTCGATTTTAGTCCACTTCATATGTAGGCTGTAATCCAATAAATCTAAGAACAGCACTTATAGCAGAATTTCAGGCCTCACCTCTGCAGGATCAATACCCTCATCCAGGAACTGCTGCAGGGAAAGCACCTCGTTCCCTGGGGATCCCGTCTTCCTGATCTGGGACTGGACCGCGCTGCCCGCGGCGGCGGCGGATGGCTCAAGAGATCTGCGCAGCTGCAGGGGGCTCTGGTGGGAGGAGCGTGAGGAGGTGGGCTGCTGGACGGGGCTGCTGCCGCTGCTGGACCACACCTCCTGGTCCAGACTCAGGCTGAACTCGCCGCTGCTCTCGCTGTGAGGCCTGCTCAGACTGCCGTTCAATGTGCCTGCAGGACGAGGGGAGGCATGGATTACAAGATTTCTGATTGCATTAGTAGTGATCAGACTACCCCACACTTTCAGAACACACCATGCAATGTAAAAAGCATTATATATTGAAGAAACAATCTCCTAATTTAACTCAGATCTAATTTTATTACCATCATGACTTATTGCTTTCTACCCAATGAAGAAAAGAGAACGGCTTAAAGTTGAACCAAACCAACTTGATCACATTTTTGCGCGAGAAAAAAAAATTTATTTTTTGAGAAATGATGAGAGAAACGAGATGAAAGGGAGCAAAACAAGAAGACTAGAGTAACAAGTGGATAGGAGCAGAGGAAGAGGAAAGGAGGAGCATACCTTTGCCCTCCAGAGGAGAAGTGAGGTGGGAGTTATTGTTACTATTACTACTGGTGGTCCTGTTGCTATGAAGACTGGAGGGTCTGGCGGCTGGGTAAGGGACGAGAGGTAAGACACATGCACACATACATTCACAGTTAGGATTTATATCTGTACACGCTTACATGTATCCACACCAACATGCACCAACGCGAGGAGTAACACGTATACGGACGCCAACGCCCTGACAGAACGTCTCCTGCTGGGGGAGCAGATGGCACATGCCAGGCAGAGGGACAGGAAAGGTGGCTCAATGCCAGGCTGCAGCCCCAATATGTCCATTCAATAAACAAAGGAACTACTGACAGAGATGGCAGGGACACCCAAATATAAGGAACGATTTCCCACCAATAAAGGGGAAGTGACTGACGATACAAGTGAGTCTGTTAGTAATTAAAGAGGAAATGACAGGCCATGTTAGGAACTGAGAAGGAAGACAAAGAGTAAAAGGAAAGGTGTGAAGACAACATGAACTTGCTCTTTCCAGTGCTGACAGGGACAGCCCCAACTGAAAACCAGTGACCGTGAAATCATCTCAAACCGGTTTTCACGACATGCTTGACACCAAATTAGAATTTCAAATCAACCCCAACGTTACAGATCAGTATCAGAGTCAGAAACCAGCGGATTGCTTGTGGCCCCACAGTGATCCTCAGTCCCGAGTAACTGTCACTTACTACAGATGCTACAGGACACTCTGCACACAGCGCTCAGACCAACAGCACAACCATTCAAATGGCAGGGAGACATATACCTCTGTGGCCCTGATAACAAACAAAAAAAATACAATGCAACACACCTAAAGGGTAACATGACAACTCAATACTGCTCAAAAATAATAAAGTTTAATGAAACGCAGATGGAAACAAAATATTTTTTACAGAGTCTGGGGGAGGGGGAAAAAAATCAATACACGTCTCAAACTACCATTAGTGTCTACAACATCCGATGACCTAATGGCTCATACATTTTCAGCAACATCCGGTGTGTGAGTGAGACTGAGCGTCCTTCTCCAACCATTACAGTGATGAGGTGGGAAATGAGTCTCACTATAGTCTCTCTCTCTCTCTCATTCTGGGAACAATATCCTGTGGAACCAGTTTATTGGCCATCAAAAGTGCAGATGTTTGCAGCACTTAAGCACAACAAGAGAAATCTGTCTGTAGACCTAACTTAAGGAATGTGTGCAACTGGGTCATCTACATTAAAGCGACACAGACCTGATCAAGTGTTGCCTGGATCCAGATTAACTGCCCTGGATAACACCCTAGCGCCTGTATTAAAGTCAATCCTGCTTTCAGCAAAGGCTGATCTGTCTCCCTCTCCCCGTCTCTTTTGCTCCCATCTAACTCTAAATCAAGCTTAATCAAAGTGCAGGAAGGCAGCCCAAAGATTATCAGTGGGACTCCTGAGGACATGACCTGTTTTTTCCCCCCCTCATTTCTTGTTTAAGGAGCCGTTAGATTCCAGCCTGGTGTTGAGAGACTGCAGGCGCTTTTCTTTGACACAGTTTCGTGCTGATGTCGTGTGAAGCTTTACTCTACCTTGACTCTTGGGATCATCCAATGAGCCGGCGACATCCTCACAGGAGGCATTGTCTGTTGAGATAAAGGGTGCAGTCATGCTACGGCTTCTTTTCACTCTGTTCTGAACAAATTTTATCAACTAAATGCAATGAGGAAATTAACACAATGTATTTCCACAAACAGGCATCCTGACCTTTGACCTGAAGCCTGTGCTTGGCTCTACTGTGACTTGAACTAGGCAGGGTGAGGGTGGCACAATCAATGGCATTGGTGGAAAAGGCGAGTTCCTTCATGCGCTGCCCGCTGCGCCTGCTGCTGCCCGTCATGTTGGCATCTCCAGCTTCAGCCCCGTCTAGATTCTCACTGCTGCCCGCCCACTGAGCCTCAGGACCACCTGCCATTGCCATGGTCTGAAGCAGGTCATTCATAGCTAGGATGGATGGGTTGGCATGAAGAAAAAAAACTGAGATTAGACATTTTAATACATATAATCTTACCTCAAGTAATGGCTCAGGATTTATAGCCATTTTATCTTAAAGAAGTCTCAATTTAATCCATCTAGACTTTAAAGGCAAACTAAAATCAGAGAAACTGGTCTCTAAAATATGCTTACGATGGAAGAACAACCTTGCAAAGATTTTTTTACAACATTTTTTTGTACACAGGACACTCATCTAGGTCCCTCTTGGAGACAAAGGCTAAGTTACCATTAGCCTAGAGACATTACAGGAAACAGACGTGGCCTCAAAGAATCCTTCAATAATCTAAAAGGATTCTGTAAAAGCAAAGGTGGCGGTTATCCCGCTGCTGCCCCAGCAGAGCCAATCAACTGACAAAATGGAAAATACATTAGCCAATCATGTTTAAGTTTCATATAATAAAAACACATCTCATATTCATTATCTTAGCAAAGATGCGCTGTAATACTGTATCATGAATTGGCTGTGCTGAAACGAGAAGAGCACAGATCATGTGAGCAGTTGTGTCAGCACTGAGCCATTAGCAAAGCTGTAACGTTGTGAAACTGCGCACAGACAGAACTATAACTTCTCTCGGCTTTCATTTAGATGATAGCAATAAACATCTGTACAGAGGCTTTTCAAAATGGCTACCCAGTGCTGAGACTTGCTTCTCGAAGGACTCTGACAGGGCAGATCTAGACTATAATTATCACTGGATATAAGTCAATATTCAATAATAAATTCATGCTATAGAATAACAGGTCCAAGCCTTTTAAAACTCAATGCACTTGCAGGCATACAGCATTATAATAATAATATTTTAAAAGCCAACAACATATCAACCAAAGTGCACGGTCGGTCACAGCCAGACACTTTTTGACATCCCTCTATGCACTTTGATTACTGAGCCGACAGCGAAGAAGAAGCATGGAAACATGCAAAGCTGCTCTGAGCGACGGCGGTGGTGCTGTGCACACACACACACAAAAATAAATAAATAAATAAATCAGAGCGAGGCAAGCCCATGTCAGCAGAATAAGATCTGAAATGCAGCACGCTGACAGAGAAGAGAGACAGACAGACGGAGGGAGAGAGACAGAATAAAGGCTCCATTTCAAGTCCTCCATGGTGAGTGCGAGCGATGATCAAGCACTTAGTGATTTTCTTTGTCATGCTGTAATCAAAGACGGGAGCACACATTTCTCAGGCGCATGAAAGGCAAACCCACAGTCTTTCCCGCTGTCTCACCTGAACACACACCCTCTCTCTCACACACACACACACACACACACACGGCCTTTCATTCAGCATACACAAACAAAATAAAACCACAAAGCACACAAGAAAGCTGCCCATTGCACATTAATGTAAGTGACCAAATGACATGGTTTTGGTCCAGAGGTGAAAATGAAACAAAAGAAAACAGAAAAAAATAAATCACCACTGTTCCTATAGTTTAGCCCTAACAAACACTAAAGTTAGTGTTAAGGTTGTGTTAATCATTCATCTGCAAATAGTGAGAGGAAAGTGAGTAAAGACTTGGAAGATACTCTACAGGAGAAAGTGGCGGCGGCAGACGTGGCGGCAGAAGTGATGGGATGGGTGGGGATTACTAGGAAAAAATTTTAAGGACAAGTCACTGATGTCACCAGGTATAGCAGAGCGGCAGCGGGATGGGATAAATTCTATAAAGAATTTAAAAATTGATCCTCTGGTAGGTCCTCTGCAGACATCTCTAAAACATGGATGATAAAACTCTGGAGTTTTAAACACTGAATTCTGCAGATGTGACTGAAAACTGAAATCCCTCACCGCCGCCACCCTGACATCAGTGACTGCTCCTCCTTTGTTTCTCCTAGAAACAAGAGGAGGGAGAGGAGGCAGATGAAGGCTAGCGTGGCAGCTAACAGAGATCTTACACATGGAGCGCCGGTAGATGGCCTTGGCCTTGTCTTTGTCCTTGGATCTGTTCCTCATGAAAGGCAACCTTTTTATAGCTGTCCGATCACAGCCAGAGACAGACAGGTAGGGAGGGAAGAGAGCGACAGAGTAAGACCAGGAGGGAGGTGAAGGAAAAGCAAAAGAAAAGAAAGAAAAGAAGGGCAGAACAGAGGGATGTGGTTAATGTTGTCACAAACAGAACCAGGGGAGAGAGAGCTGAGCTCCTGGACACCTTAACTGGACAACAGACAACACTGCAACAGACACAACAACAACTATAATGTATGACTTTAAAAACATGTGGATTATAATATTAGAGAGCCTATTAGATGGTTAGTCAAGTGTAAGGTATTTCAATCTATACAAATTCTCTCCATATTATTAAAAATATACACACACACATTATTGGATGCCCTTTGGATGGACTGAAATGCCTTCCACTGACTTTCTATATGTTCTGTATTTAAGGGCAGGCTTTTGTATAAAACGACATTGTGTAAACAATAGAAAAACAGACACACATTATGCAAAACACACACCGTCTCCTGCACACAATCAGCATCATCCGCACAGTCTCATGTTAATGGTTTCGACCACTGTATATTACATTCTCAACTTATTTCCAGGCATTACATTCTGTACACGACACAACACATTCCACACCTAGATGAGACGACAAGATGAAAATTATTAAAGGGTGCAATCAGGAGAACAAGAAGGGGCAGATTAACAGCAAAAAACAGCACTACAGTGTTTCCAGCAAAGACTTTCCCAAGAACCTCAAAAAATGAGACGTTTACAGCTGCTGTTCCAGCACACTCGACTGTAATTTCTGTACTGTACGCGAGTGTTTTAGCAAATGTTACTACATGGTTGTTAAAGGCTACGTTCTCTTTGTCTTACCTCTTATCTTGTGTGTTGTGAAAAACATACAAACTCGTTACCCTAACTGACAACTTTGTGCTACATAGCAGAAATATGTGGCTTAGTTGTTTCTTGGAGATTACAGTTAATGTCAGTACAACTGAAAACAACCAACCAAGCCAGGTCGCGATAACCAGGCAACGCATTGCACCTTTTAATATCTACGATGCTATGATACAGGACGTTTCTTATTTACGAGTGAGCTGAACAGATCGACAGGTTACCTGAGAGCAAAGCATCTTGGGATTAGATTTTTTTCTCTCCAATATTTAAACCATGAGGTGCACTTGATTCAGCTCGACCTTGAGCGAGTATGCTGGCAACATAGATGTAGTCCAAATTATTCTGCAAATTCCAAGATATTAAATCTTACAGCTTAGCAAATGACAATGACTCCAGTGACACGAAGCGAAAGTGTTAAAGCGACTTTTCTTCAGAAATGGTGGACATCTCCTTGAAAATGTTGCCAGCAACTACATAAAATAGTACTATTGTTCAGTGATTGAGTTTAATAGCATTGGTAACAGCTGACTGAGTGCACCTCAATTTGTTTCAAACACAAGAAATGCTTCTGCATCTTTAACCAGGTCTGAGGTCAAGAGTCAGCCTGCACAGCTCAGCCGTAATGTCTACGACAGCTGAGTGATATGGACAATGGACTCACAAAAACATGCCCTGAAAGACGTGACAGTCGGGTCACAAACCCCTCCCACCCTCCCCATCCGCAGCATACCATTGGAGGAACCCTGCACTTGGGCATGAGACTGCTGCCCTCTCCTCCCTTTGCAGAGAGATATAAAGAAGCAAAGGAGCAGTTAGGAGGGAAGACCCATTCAGTCACTCAGGCATACAAAGCCACACTCACAAAGTAGACCATTATGTGTCAGTGAAGAAAGTTCAGCATCAAATTAAAGCTGTTAGCAAATGTTTCACTAATTCTGTGTGTACTACAAAACAGTATTTTAAGAGTTTCCCTTCTTTTTGTAACAAAAAATATTGTGAACACATTAAAAGAAGTTCCTTCAGTGATGGTTGAAACTATAACTGTGCAATCTTGTGTGTGTGTGGTTCTTTCAGACTCACTGCTGCTCATGTGTGAGAGCGTGTCATCTAGCGAGTTGGTGCCCGAGCCTATGGATGAGCTGTCCTGGCTGTCCTGGGGAAACATCAGAAAACTGTCTCCAAACTCTGATCGAGATGGAGTCAGTGTGAGAGACCGGATCCTGTCCCGGCTCTTCGGCTTGATCAGCTTCTTCATCTTTAGAGTAATCCAGTTGCCGCGCCTGTAAAGCAGAGATGAGACAGACACTCAATAACAGACGAACAAAAGGAAATAGAATTTTAAAAAATCAATACATAATCATATAAAGGATATATAAGGCTAGATGCATTTGAAATTTTATTTTAGGCCAAAAGCCCAAATGACTATCAGGGTTAAGAAAAAAAATTTTTCACTATACAGCTGTATGATGCTCTGCAGGTAATAAATATTTGATGCACTCCCTTCCTGATGCTGCACTGCTTTTCCATCTCAAAATACAAGACAGCATGTATGCAGAACTTTACCAATTTGACTCAATTTTATGTCATTTAAAGGAAACAAATTCTGCACCTGCGTGGAGGTGAAGGGTCATAGAACTTGTACTGGTCCATGATCTTCTCCTCCAACTTCTCCTTCTGCCTCCTCAGCTCATTCAGCTTATCTCTGAAGGTGGGACGACGAGAAGATAAAAGCACAGTAAAAGCAGACAAGAATGCATACACTCTAAATATAAAGGCAGCATATTTGCATTTACAAACACAGATACATGGTTCTGGCATATTTCTTTGTGAGTTTTACATGTATTGTCTTTGCTCTACGTGGAACAGGTCCTTGCTCTCCATGGTCTGCTCCAGCAGTGTGCGATTTTGTAACATCAAAGTCTGGATTTGGTCCAACAGGTGACGGTTCTCTTCCTCCAAGTTTCCCTTCAGCTGGCTCAACAACTAACACAAACATAGACAGATACATTCATATTTGGCTTTAGAAGCAGTGTTTTGAAATATGATACATTAAAAAGGTAGACACCATGAGAAAAACCTGAAGGGAAGAGAAGAGAGACTCATTACCTCACACTGGTTGGTTAGCTTGGTGGAGGTGATGTCCAGCTGCTGGTACTGCTCCTTCAGTTTAGAAAACTCAGCCTCCAGCTTGGTTTGGTCCAGCTTTGCACTGTTCAACTGGCTCTTTAGGTTTTTATGGTCCAGCTGGAGATTTTCATTGTCCTTCAAGAGCTGACGATAGGTGCTATTCAACCTGAGGAGAGAGAAAATCGACTCCTTGGTATACGGCCTCATTGATTTAATTCAGTCCCTTTGATAAATTAGTGCTAATGTGAGCATAATGTTTAAGGTTATGGAAAAAAGGTTGAGCTGACCTATCATTTTCCTCTTTGAGCAGTTTGTACTGGTCAGCTGTAGCTTGGTGGGTCTGATTCTCCAGGGCCATCTTTTCCTGCTGCTCCTTCAGATTCTTCTCCAGCTCCTCCAGCTCCCCCTTTCTCTGCAAGAGCTGTTTGTACCTACATACGCAAACAGACACACACCTTAACACTTATGGTCCTGGATCTAACGACATATTTCCTTGCAAAAGGCAGCCAAACTACAAACTAAAGTCACAAATGAGACTTAAGCTGTAATTAGACTTGAGCATGTGCCCATCCCAAGCTCCTAAACCACATCTCACTTGTCCTCCAAGTCCCTGTGCTGCTGTTCCAGGCTCTTGTGGGAGGTCTTCAGCCCACCGTGCTTGCCGATCAGCGCTTCATATTCGGCTGCCTGCCTCTCGTGGAGCGCTGCCAGCTTCTCGTGATCGCGCAGCAGCAGTTCATAGGTAGCTCTCAGCTCCTCTTTCTCCCTCAGCGCTCCTTCACGCTCTCCTTCCACACTGCTCTGCTGGGTCTGCAGCTGGGCGTTCTGGGCCATCAGGGATGCGCTCTGTGAGCTCAGAGTTGAGTTTTCCACCTAAAAAGAGGACAAAGGCAGAGGGAGAAAAGGACATATTACGCAAAGAGGTGATAAGAGTGATGTGTGGCGTGTGAATAAGAACAGCATTAAGCCCCTTAAATCAAACATCAAAGAACTTGGAAGCAGTAGCTGATGGGGCTTTGGCCTGTAGGGGGCACTCTTCCCTCAACCTGCTCTCCTGCTTCAAAATACTACAAAACATCAGCATGAAAGCTGTTTCTTTACATGTTTTCCTTTATGATCACAGCAGCACCCAGTTCTCAAATCCCTCTACAGACATGACTACTGTGTTTATTCACACTATGAACACACACACACACTCCTGTTGTTGCTACAATTTCTACCTTTTTTTTTTAAACTCTTAACTACCTCTAGCCCACCCCACATACAAATGTCCTCAAACAGTGCCCAATTCAAAGCAACACATGCAAACAGAGAAATAGCTACTGTGTAAATCCCTCCACCCTTAAGAAGGGTTTGAATTACTGCCAAACAGGGAGGACAAGTGTAAATCCAGAGCAGAGAGCTAAGCAGCCGGGCAAGGCAACAGTGTAAACAGGGCAGTACACAGTGGAGGCTATAAAGGCACGATGCAGTGCCATCCAAGTCAGAACGGCTAACAAAGCTCTGTCGCCTACTATATGCATGCTTGCCAGCTTTCTGCAAAGTCAATTGCTACAGAACCCAAACTCTCTGTTCTCAAGAACTGAGTAGAGAGCTTCATGGAAAGGGTTTTAATGGCATAGCAGCTGCATTCAAGCCTTACTTCACCAGACAGAAAAAATGGTTGGATGCAGTGGTGCAAAGCACTCCCCCATTGGACTATAGAGCAGTGCAGGCGTGTTCTCAGGAGTGATGAATCACGATTCTCAGTCTGGCAATCCGATGGATGAGTTTGGCGGTTGCCAGAAGAACGGTACTTGCCTGACTGCACTGAGACAAGCATAAAGTTTGGGTGATGCGGGATTATGGTGTAGGGCTGTTCTTTGGGAGCTGGGCCCAGCCCTTTAGTTTCAGTGAAAGACACTCTGAACGTTTCAGCATACAAAGACATTTTGGACAATTTCATACTCCTAACTTTGAGGTAACAGTTTGGGGACGGCCCCATCCTGTTCCAACAGGTATCATTCTCTGACTTCACAAATGCGCTTCTGGAAGAAGTGTGAAAAATTCCCATAAACACACACCAAGCTGTGAGAGGTGGCGGGATTACCTGTAGTTTGGCATTCTGCGTCTGTAGCGTTGTATTGTTCTCCTGTAAAGAGGCCGTCTGCCTCTGCACAGCCACTATCTGAGCCTGCAGGTTGGAGTTTTGGGTTTCCAGTTGTTTGAGTTGGCTCCTCAGGGCCACCTTCTCAGCCTGCAGAGTAGCATTCTGGGAAGACGACACATGATATTAGACAGGAAAATATATAACCAAAATTCACAACATAATTCATTCCTGACAGTATCTAAACTTACATTCCTCTCCACTTCAATGAGTCTGTCTTTGACTTTCAGCAGTTCTCTGGTTGCTTCATGGCTTTCTTTCTCCCATTTACTGACAGCCTGAGGGTCTTCCCCCACTTTAGGGGGCGAGCTCTGCACCATCCTCTCCTCCTCCTCTCTCTGCCGGAGCGCCTCGTAGTTTTTCTTCACCTGGGGATGAAAATAGTAAGTCAACAAAATTAAACATTTCAATTCCTGCGACCGCCTGTTCATGGCTCATGTTTTTTCACAGCTTTGGATTAGATTTGTGTCAGCAGGTTCAAAATACAAACACCTCCCTGAAGGAAAGCAGACATCTCCTATCGCACATCAGCCCTTATAAATAGATAAAGTGCAGACAGAAACGAAGAGTGGATAACATAAATAATGCATCGGCCTTGACAAGTCTTCGATGTTTTCATTGTTTCTAGCGTTTGAGTGTACGAGAAAGATGCTGGGACACGCTGATCTCAAGTGGACAAGCAAGCATATTCAAGTTTTTAATAATGGGGTTTTCTTTAATGTGGCAATGCTAAACATCTGTAAATGAACAAGTTTTATATTAAAGTTTTTTTTTTAAAAAGGAGCCAGTTGACATGGTTCAGGCATCTAGTTAGGATGCCAGATGGGAGGAGGCCTCAAGAGACAGAACAGGCTGGGGAGTTCGGGAATGCTTTGGGATTGCCCAGAAAGAACTAGAGTGTGGCTGGAGACAATGACATCTGGAATAGTCTCGTCAACCTGCTGCCAGCACAACTCCACTTTAGATAAGCAGAAGACGGCAGACTCGCAGATACAAATCCATATTTTTAAAAAATTCATTTGTTGTGTTACAAACCGTTTTCAGCTCCTGGCGAAGCTGCTGGTTAAGGTTGGAGGACTCCTGCAGTCTTGCCTCAAGTGCAGCAATTTTCTCCTCTTTGATCTCCAGAGTTGATTTCAGGGTCGACTCCAGTTTGGTTTCCAGGAGCTTAAACCTGACGATAAAGGTTCAGGTCAGTCCAGACGAGTGTTTGTTTTTGCAAAGTGAGTTTGTGAAAGAAACGCTGTTTAAAATCAAAGCATGTCATTTGCACCTCACCAGACTTGATTCATTTTAAGCCTCAACTTTAGTGATTGTGCTTTGTAATAATTCTGATTCCAAGCAAGCTGACAGGCTTCTCATACGAGCTGAATCTGAGGATGGTTTAGCTTTTGTGTGCAGATATAATATTCACCTGTCGTCTGAGCTCTCGTCATGCAGGAGCCTCTCTTTATTCAGTCCAATCTTTTCCAACTCATGGGTCAGTTTCTCAAGATCATTGGTCATCTGCTGAGTCCGCAGCTTCTCACTCACAAGCTCCTAAACACACAATTACATGCTTTTGAATTCCGTATTAGCAACAGACATATTATTAAAAATAACCCAATCAAATTGGTTGCAAGGTTTATTAAAAGGGATATAAAAACACATTTTTAATCACAAATTCTTAATTTTATCAATATTTGTTTCAATACACAATGAATGGCCTCTACAATATATAAATCAAGAGGTTTGATATGTTTTGAGATGTCTGATAGTCTAACAGCTATTTTTACCTCTCTGAGCGTGACAAGGGTCTTCTTATCGATCGTGGCCTGTTTGACCAGCTCCTTTTTCTCCCTTTCCAGGTCCTTGACTCTCGTACAGGAGTCCCTGAAAAAGATCATCTCCTTGCCCATTGTCCGATTTTCCTTCTCCAGGGTAGTGATGCGCTGGTTGCTATCATCCAGCTTTGAGTCGCGGATCTCAGCCTGCTGCCTCAGTCGCTTGTTCTCCTTTTCCAGGAGCTTCTTGTCTTTCTCTAGCTGGGAGCTTTCCAACTCCAGAGCCTTGTTCTGGAGGAGAAGCGAATGTAATGGAGAGCAGATGGTTAAATATGATTTGGGATTACTCTTTATCTAAATGCCTTGTTTGGCTGAACTTGGACAAAGATTTGCTCAAAAGGCCAAAAATGTATACGACAAATAATCTGGGTTAATCCAACTCAGCTGGGAATCGCGCTATAACTTCAAAATAAACTAAAAAGAATCAGAGCGGCAGTACAATGCTCCTTAAGCACCAGATCATTTTTCACTTTTTTGATTTATTTAGGAGAATTCAGTCTGCTGAAACTACATTTTTTGAGCCAGTGTGACTGACCCCATTAATCAATGCCAGCAAAAGTAACAGACGCCTAGAGCTGTCCCACTAGTTGCCATATATTTGAGCTGGACAAATAACTGCAAGTTCCTCAAAATACCTTTAATTCTTTCATTTTCAGTCCATTTCCACATTTAAGCATTACCTACCTCCTGCTCCAGCTGCTCGAGACGTTTACTGGAGATCTTGAGCTCCTCCAGGTTACGCTGGAGGGACTGATTCTCAGACTCCACCTCTTGCAGCTCTGCCTCCAACTGCTGGATCTTCTTGCTGCTGTTCTCTAAAGCCTTCTGCAGGCGCTGGTTCTCAGTATCTAGGCCCTGGTAGCTCACCTGGGAGAGGAATAGCCAGATTAGGAAATTCAAATCATCTATGAACTAGTTGTGCTTCTCCCTGAAGACAACTATATGTCAGATCCCCTGTAACAGCATTCAGTGATAATAAATTACAAAACTAAAACGGATTCTTCACATTCTTAAATAAACATCGTCTTCGTTTGTGCCGAGATGGCTACTAATCTTCATTTGCATATATCTGCTTTATTTCTCAAAGAAATTTATTCCCACAGTTACATCTCACTGCTCTTCAATCACATATGTACCCGCTGTATGACCTGTATTACCTCTAATCTCTCAGTCTTCTTAGATGAGGCTTTGAGCAGCTCCAGACTGCGTTTCAGTTGGCTCTTCTCGCTCTCCAGCTCCCTGTTCTCGGCCTCCAGCTGAGCAGCCTTAGCCCCCGCCGAGCGGAGACTCTCAGCTGAGCGTCGAAGCTCCAGGTTCTCCTGCTCCAGTTGAGTGTTTTCTTTTTCCAAAGCCTCCAGCTGGAAGGCCATGTTTTTCAGGGTGTCCAGCTTCTTCTTGAGGCGGCGGCCTTCTGCCTCCAGCTCACTATTCTCCTTCTCCAAAGAAGCCACCTAAACACACACAGGAAACAAAGATGAGAAGCAAAGCATTTGGCAATACCACCAAATTCTTTTCATCTTACTCCAACAATTGCTTCAAAAAAATAAATAAATAAATAAATCTGAATGTGAGATAAGATAAGAGGATGAAAACTTGCAGACACTGTCACAAAATGCACCTGACCTTTTCACAGGTGATTCCAAGACTGGCAACTTTCTTCTGCAGGCTCTCGTTTTCCCTTTCCAACTTCTGTATCTGAATTTCCAGCTCTTCTGCTCTCTCTCCTTTCTCCTTCATAACTTCAAGCTCTTTGCCTGCAAAAATAGATGTTTAACAACAACTAGAATGTTTATCCATAACATTTTTATAGCACATGAAGAAAGATGAGGGGGGGAAAAAAAAAACAAACAAAAAACCTACCATTACTAACTTGCTGTAATGAACCATAAAAAGTAATAAACATGTCACTTACGCAGCTGTTTCCTTTCAAACTCCATCTTATTTAGTTTGGCAGTTGTCTCACAGATCGACTCGTGGAGAATGCGGTTCTCTTTTTCCACATCCTTGACCCGGGCCTCGGCACCCACCTGGCAGCGCTGACGCAGAGACGACACGGTTTGGCTCAGGTGCTTGTTCTCCTGTTCGAGACCCTTCATCTGGAGAGCACATATCAGTTTCATTGAAAGCTAACAGACAACTTTAAGATAAATTATTTACTTTTGGGTGAATTCTATGCTTAGTGACCATTTTTGCAACAACTAGCTTGGCTGCATGAGCCAGTGCTGGAGAAAGACTTTCATTTAGTTTCTTTTAGTCTAGTTAGATAAACTCATTAAAATTCAATTGACATCAAGAAAGAAAACTAATGATGTGTTAAAACAAAAAAACAAAAAAAACAACCCAGAAACTTATTAGGAGTATGCAAAGCTGTTCATGTATTTTGGAACATCACATTAGCCACATCTCATTATGTTCCCAGCCAAGTGCATAGATTTTGCTGCAGTAATCCCAGTGTTCTCTCTGTGTAGCTAATCAAGGCCAGATTTTACAAATCAGACACTTAAACTAATCAAAGGTGTCAGATTTAGGTCTAACGGCTGCAAAGTCCCTGCAGACGGGCAGCGAGCTAGTGCATCTGGGCGACAGAGTGCCAGAAATCTGTTCGGTCAATAAAACATTAGTGGAGTTTCCACTAAACAGTTTTTTGGAGCCAAACGCAAATCAATTACACAAAGATTGCTTTCAAGAAAACTAGAGACTTCAGTAAATTACACAGCCGTGTAGTAGTCGTGTTGTTTAAATGAAATTTCCAGGAATGAGAGTCAGTAACGGTTTTGTGGAGAGCACAGCGTCTATGTCAGGGCCCCATTTGTATTAATGGGTCTGAGACTGTCCAGTAAACTGGAATGTTAATTACATTTTAAAGGCACAAAAATATTACGCAATTGGTTTTCAGAAAAGCTGCTCTCTAAATCAGTCAGTGAAGTATCATTCTTGAAAAGAGGCGCATGGGGAGAGATTTAAATCAAAGTCAGGGCTAGCTTTCCAAAGCTAATTAGCTTTTTACCAAAAACTTTCCACTCTTTTTTTAGAAAAATATATTTTTGATATTTTAGGCACATTCTCAACTGAGTAGGATGTGACCACTCCAAAATATATTTGGATTACTGACTTCTAAAAATTGTGCATCTTATTTTTTACTGATGACGTGTCATTTCCTGTAAGCGTGTGCGTACCTGTCTCTCTGAGTTTTCTCTGAGGGTTTCCAGAGTCTTCTCCAGCAAAGCCTTCTCCTTCATCAGGTCAGTACTGAGAGACTCGGCACTGCGGAGCGACTCTCTGTCTGCTGTCAGTTCGCTCTCCAACGACTCCAACTGCAAAGAATAATTAAAGCAAGTTTGCGATTTTTGTTCTTGGGAGTTTTTCTTATTCTGTTACAGAATAAGAAAAAGATGCACAGGAGGTGGTCTTGCAGCATCAATTGTGTGGACGACATATCATAGTCACAAAGATGGCAATGCAGTTATTAATCTGTAACAAATGCTGAATACGTCACCTCATTCTGTCACTAATCTGCAGAGAGACCCATAGAAGCAGCTGTTCACACATTAAAAGTAAATATTACTGTGGCTCGACTCTTCCAGCAGCTGCATTCACATTTTAATGTGCTCTGGCTCCTCAAGCCACTCAGAAATCTAACTCTGAATTTTCTCTTTGTGAGAGACGAACACAATTTCAAGCCTTTTATTCAACGGCCACAGAGAGAGGCTTATGTTTCTGAAAATAGCTGAGAGACTTCTCTTAGCAAGGGGCACTGGTGTGTCAAACACTGGAAAAGAAAAGGCAATGCAGGGCTCCCCGGATTTATAGGTTTGCTTTCAACCTCCCATCCACCCCTTTCTATACCCTCTCTCCTACTTTCTGTCCATTTCCTACTGAGGGAAAAGGTCTAGAGTCAAGTACCAGGATGATATATTTTAGAGGAACTTGGTGCAATATGCTAATCTGATAAAGGATATAAATTTTAGCCTCAAAAAACGATGTAGAGCTGCAAATCTATACTAGAACACACACAAAATGAACAGTGAACAGGACCTACATGTGAAACTAACTATATATCCAGTTTTTATTGGGGAGGACTTGGGGTACAGGCAGGCATTTCTCCTTCGAATAACATAATCGGAAGCATAGTTGTCTGCGTAACTTTATTGAGTCATTCGACAAACATCAGATATGCTTAATCCAAACAGAAAACAGGAATTTACTTTCAGCTAGTTCCCAGAGAGAACAATAATAAAATATGACGTCAATTCTTACTTTCTTGCTCAGCTTCTGGTTTTCCTGGTTAGCTTTGACCAGTTTTGTCACAGTGTCCTGACTGGCCGCTGCTCTGAGTTCCTCAACCGTCTTCAGCAGGGTCTGGTTGTCTTTCTCCAGCTTTAGCAGACGGCTTGACGTTAGCTCATTCACCTCCTCCCCCAGAGACTTCTGAGGGGCTGAAAAATATGGATTACAAATAGCAAATGTTAACAACTAAATCCAAAGAATTCTGTTTTGATTTTTGATTAGTTCGTTACCAGGCCTCTGGAGAACTTCAGGACATGTTGAGGAGCTAATTTAGCCATTTAAATCAGCTGTGTTGATTCGAGGACATCTAAAACCTGCAGGGGCACCGGCCCTCGTGGACTGAGATTGCCCACCCCTGCACTATGGTATAACTTTACAGGTCTTAAAGCCTTTAAAGTGCCATTTTAACAAACAAACTCCCACACAAAGTCTTTATCCAGATCCCTGTCTTGTTAAACCTCTTAACCACTCTTATAATCCAAACGCACTGCTGATCTTTCAGGAGCGCTTGAATATTACTTACAGGTCTTAACCAAGTGGAAAGAAAACCCAGTGGAAGCTGACAAATGCACAAGGGCCATAGAGAAGACACCAGGATTAAGAGCCAATGACCACAGTCTGATCTGTCGGGCCATCTGAACCCTTAATCTTGGTGAACTCAGGTGACTGTCAGCAGCATTTTAACTCAACATGCTATTTTTCGACTTTTCAACTCCGTGGCTCTCCTCTAACCTTCTGTTAGCTCTGGTGTCTTTGATAATTGTTCCAGCTCCCATCCAAGGTGCAGGGATTCATCCATGCTCTGTTTCTGGGCCATCTCAAGCACAAGGTTCTCCTCTAACAGCTCCTTCATTCGCTTACGGTCCATGTCCCGCTCCTGGGTCATTGGGGATATAACAAACGTTTTCATCGCTATTTGTACTTTCCAAATAGTACCGATACTGAAACACTGAATTAAAAAATGTATCATCATACCATCTCCAGGTCGTGGATCTTTGATTTGATCTGTAGATTCTCCTTCTCCAGGAGATGTAATTTGTCGGACCGGGTCCTGCTAGCATCTAGCTGCTCCTCCAGCATAGTCTTAGTCTCCAGCAGAATCTGGTTGTCCTCCTTCAGCTCCTACAGAAAAGTCAGCAGGTAATAAAAGGTGAACAACAAAACTGCAACTTGGACATGTGCTCTCTTTAAACAAAAACGTAAGATTTAAATTAATATATTGCATAGACTGGGCTTACACAGTTTTATATATGCATGAATCTTTATATATGTGAATGGCACAAAATATTCATCTAGAAAAGTGTTTTCTGTTAGATTTATAGTTTTTATTCAAGAGAGCACTAACAATAGTTCAATTTCTAATTCAAACATCAATATTTATTTTTTAAAAACTAGCAGTTTGCAGTGAACACAGATATTGCAGTATAGATAATAAGATGGGTCTCATACTGGTTGCATAATATCACAACACTGCCAACATAAACTAGAGTTATTAATATTTGGCTACGAGATCATGTTTGATCTGTATGTGCAGCCCTGTACCTCAACTCTGGCCTTGTAAAACTCGATGTCATGAAGTCTCTCCTTGTATCGGCTCAGCTCGCTCTCCAGCTTGTCCACACGTATCGCTTTCTCTCGGAGCGAATCCAGCTCGTCACGATAGGCCCGAGCCGACCGAGCATCTGACAGCAGCTGATAGCTCTGAGGGAGTTGGCAAACAAATGCACAGCATGATTATGTGGATTCATGAAACAAAGAGAATTTCATGGACAAAGATGCAAACAACCAAAACATGCATTAAAGAAAAAAACAACAACAACACTCAGTGAATCTGGAATCTTGTAAAAATATAAGCTATTAGCAACTTTAGCAAGTTTCTTCTGCTACATAAACAGATCAGGCCAGAATGAACTCGCCACACAAACACCTCTGGAACCACAAGAATTACCCTCATGCACCTTGTTTACTGCAGTTCACCAGTCAGTCTGTCGCCCACTTCCTATCAAAAGCCATGTGAGGCTGCTGCTTCACTAAAGATAGCTCCAATAGCCTGTAATGAGCTAAGTCACCTGCTGACTGATTAAATCCTGGCAGAGCTGCACAAACAGAGGACTTAGAGGCACAAGGAGCAGGTGGAGGGGACATGTAGTCACATGAATGTTTGTGTGTTTGTGTGCATGTAGGTGCACAAGCATGGACGTCAGTGGAGACGTTACCTCTTGCTGAAGTCTCTTGAGCTCGACCTCCATGTTCTCAAGCTCCTGCCTGGTGTCCAAAAGCTGCTCACTCTTCTCCTCTCTGCAAACAAAGGAGAAAGGTTAGAAACATTAAGCTTTACACTGAAAAATCCCATGCCAAAGGGTTTTTGTACTTTTTGTTTTTAAGTGTGGATTCCTATGTATATCAGTTCTCGGGATGCACAAGAACATTCCCTTAGGGCTGTTTCGACTTCAAAGCTTTCAGCTACAGTTAATCATTTACAGGTGGAGCACAGAAATGAATATATGAACAAAATAAATGATCAGAAAAGTAGTTTCAGTAGGTAGACAGAATGTCAAACTTCTTTTATATCGTGGGCCACATGCAGCCTACTTTGATCTTAAGTGGGTTGGATCAGTAAAACTCCCTCTGTGTCAGTGTAAAGAAGTTTAACTACACATTTAATACCTGAAACACCTAAGTTAATGCAACACTAAGTTTCAGTTTTTCTACATGATAAAGAAATGCTGCTGTAGTGAATGAAAGAAAGCATGACTTTACACATAAAGTTCTAGAAGCTATTTGCCCATACTGTCGTGTAATTATTAAAACAGGAAGTCTGTTAATTCACAGAAAAGGTTTAACCCCAAAAAATGTTTTTGGTGTCCTATGAAGGGCCATGGGAGAGCTCTTCATCAGTAGGAAGAGTTGTAAAATAATATGAAAATACAGTTAAAAGTCCAAAATTTGTGCCCTGTTTTCATTTTCAACGCTGCTTATCGGACTGCAGCCTTTGCCGGGCTGATCTTGGATTATGTTTGATACCCTTTAGTCTACGTAATTTGAGAAGCTTCAAGAAGTTATAAGTATTCAGCAACAGGCAGCAGGAATGTAAACCGAGTTTCAGCAGTTAGATCTCTTAAAACCACCGTCAGCTACTTGAAGGCCCCGATCTGTTTCACGTGCTAGTTATGCTCAAATTCCAGCTTTGATTGTTTTTGTCTGAGAAGCTTCTTTGCAATCAGCAGTTACGTAGTCTTTAAAAAAAAATAAAAAATACAAATCTTTTGATGCTCTTAAATCTTTGTGTGACATGTGTCATAGTGAGTAATATGAATCAGTTAGGTATTCAGTCCAATGTATGACTGTGCCACATTTTAGGAAATGCCTCCCAGGCATTCTTGTAACGTCGTGTCCATGAGAAAGGGAAGAATAACCCAAAATTAGGTTTTCAGTTGTGCCGTTACTGGGACAGACGCATAAAAATATCCTATCGTGCCTGGTGTGTATGACCTGTAGCTGTCAGGAGCGTCTTGCCCTAAATTTGGTGAGTAATAAACAAACAGATTCTGCTTGACAGCACATTTTGAATAACAGCCAAATGAAAACAGTCACAGACAAATGAAAAACAGAGTTCAAGAGATTGCATGTCAATCTTTCCCTGAGACTAAAACCCCTGGTGCACTTTGGAGCCAAAAAATAAAAAGAGTGACATAAAAACTGGGATGGAAACTACAGAATTCAATTCATTACTCTTTTTTTCGCATCAACAGTTGGGTCGATCTACTATCCAAGACTGTTCTGTAACATTTATTTCAATGACAGTGAAGTAGGGCAGCCTGACATTTGCTGTCTGTGTTACAAATTCTCCCAGCTCCTTCCACAGAGGGTAGCTTTGAAGGAAAATAACTGCATTCCTGAGATGCTGCTCTCTGTGTGCATGTGTTTGCATGAATCCGCTCCACTGAATATTTGATGGACTATTTGATTACTGCTCTCTGGAGTCTCTGTCCATCTGAATAATAAAAAGCATCCTTTAATTCAGGCATTCTCGTTCACCTTCTTTCTTCCAAGGTTCACGTTATTCTGTTTTCCATTTCATCAATTAACTCCCTGCCAAAAATCAAACACCTGTCAACACCACCCACGGAGATAGTTTTGGACTCTCATTGTGAATGCATCGCAGTCTGGTGCTTATTTGACTGGTTTAACACGCCATGCATGCACAGACAAACAGTTGTGTTAGTTGCCATATTCAAGAAGCCAAGAAACAAAGAAACCTTTATTCTTAGTCTAACAAATATCTAAATGTCCTCCATCTGTTAGTCTGGTGTTATTTTCATAGCTTTAATTCTTTGTCATATAAAAAAAGAAGTATACTCTTGTCTAAGAACAAACAAAAGCATTCTCAATAAAAATACAGCTTTAAAATGAAAAGTTAGGACACCAAATATGGTTATGTTGAAAGATTTGTTGTGCTTTTCAATCAATCATTTAGATCCCAAAATGTAACAAAATATTACTTTTCAATATTTCTATCTATATGATTCTAGAACAGTCCAAATTTATATATCTAGGTGAAGCTGTAATACCTCTATATTAAAACTAATAAGCTTTTGGGGGCAGATAAGTGGAAATAGCACAAAAAATGAACAAAAACAGACCACTGTGGAAACAGTGAAACATACCCCCCAGCTCTGACCTGGTCTCCTTCAGACAAAAAGCAGACACACACACACACACACACACACACACTTATATGGCGAGACACTGTCTGTGTATGTGCCTGCATCCATAGACACAACAAACAATCTTCCTCTCCCTTAAAGACAGCACAGAAATCATGTGACCAGACTACATCAGAATGGACAGACGGACCTTTTTGTTCCTTGTCACAGCTCATCACATGGCAATAACCTTTCTATCACAGACACAGCAGCACTATAGCAACACTATAGCAACCAACAAACAAAATAAATCTTGCTCTTGTTGTATTGTGCCCCTTTTTAAGTTAACTGAAGAGATTATAAATGTGGGTCAAGGAAGGAAAGATAAGCGAAACGCCTACAGTGATTGATGGCGACCCATTCCCGCACAAGAACTAAGACAAATTAGTTTAAGATCATTCAAGGTGAGATGTTTTTAATGTGACAAGGAAGTGGCTGATCTGCACCTCAATCTAAGATACAATCAATTGTTGAAGAACCATAATTTAGTCCTTTAGTTAGGCCTCATACAAACATTTCGTTTAAACAAAGGAAACAAAACAACGCATCCTTCGACAAACAGGAATCTACCCTTTTGACTAATCAACAACAACCAACAACAGTTAAAACTGAGAATGAGGCTAATCCATGACGTAGCACATTAGCAAATATTGCCTACATTATACATTAATAACATTTGAATATTATATAATGTGAGCAGAACTCACATCCCAGATCGAAATCCTTAAAATTATTATTTGGTAAAATAAATATATTTAACATTTCAATAAGAACACAGACAGCAGCTCACACTGCATGAACAAGCCTGCAATGTTTGTCATTTGTTATGGAGTTCTATCCATGTAAATTAAGCTTTAGCTGGTAGGTAGTTGGACTTCTTTTTCTATAAATTTAAAAAGTGCTCAGGACTTTCTCTGACTCAAAATGGGTCTTTGTGTAATAGATGGCTGTCATTTCTCTTAATTTGATAAAGAAAACGAGGGTACGCTTGACTAAATGAGACATACATGAACAAAACCACTTGAGTCCTGGTGATTTTCCCCCAAGTTAACCTCTTTGCGGTGAGCTAACATTTTTGTCAACACAGGGCTTGCACTCATTTAAATGCTGTTATGGTGACAGATTCACTTCTTTCAAGCAAATTAGATCCACTCAAGTGTGTAAACAATTTCCTTGACATAGGCTGTTATCAGTCCTGACATAGACAATCACAGGAATCCAATTCATGATTATTTCAGCTGGAACAGAAAACATGAAAATCAACCTCTGTAGAGTAAAACAGTTCCTGCAAAGTCGTTAAACAACAACACCAACTTCAAGGC